AGGAGTCTGACAAAAATGCTCATTTTCAATGGAAATTTCAGATGGCAATGAATGTTTTTTTTTTGTTTTTGCATCTGAACTCTTCATATATTATAAATCCCCTTTTTTCTGCGCCCCCCACGACACGACAACCTCAAAACATTGTGGAATAGTAAAGCAGGTCGCACACTGGATACGCTACTTAGCACCATGCTGCAACGCTCTAATCACAGTTGGAAGTATTACAGATTTAAAATGAAACTATTCAGATGGTGCTCTGTGGTGTGGCAGAAATATGAAGTGTCCTGAGTTGTAGCTGGGTGTCACGGACAGCCGCCTACTTGCGGTGCCGAAGTGCGTACCCTAATAGAAATCTTTGTTTAGAATTCTAAAATGCATGGCACTGCATGGTGTGGTACATCCAGTGTGCGACCCCCTTAAGTATACCTCACATAAGTGAGTGGGCTTGACAAACTACCAGTAGAAAGAACACTCTTTCATCTCTCTGACACTTTAATCCACATTTGCACCAGATACAATCTCACAACGGGCAGCATGGTGGCGCAGTGGGTAGCACAATCACCTCACAGCAGGAAGGTCGCTGGTTCTTACCCCAACTGGGTCAGTTGGCATTTCTGTGTGGAGTTTGCATGGGTTTCAACCAGGTGCTCCGGTTTCCCCCCACAAGTCCAAAAATGTGGTATAGGTGAATTGGGTAGGCTAAATTTTCCGTAGTGTATGAGTGTGAATGCATGTATATGGATGTTTCCCAGTGATGGCTTGCAACTGGAAGGGCATCCGCGGCGTAAAACATATGCTGGATAAGTTGGCGGTTTATTCTGCTATGGCGACTCCAGATTAATTAAGGGACTAAGCCGTCAAGAAAATGAATGAACAATCTTACAACCACATATCTCAAAAAAATAAATAAATAACTTTAAAAAATGAGATTGTGAATTTATGAAATGTGCTTCACACAGGTGAGTGGGCTTGATAAACCACTTATAGAAAACAGGGCTGAGCAATATTGCAAAATATAATTTCATATAATTCGATATTAATAATTATTCTGAGAATATTTTTAACAATACATAAAATAAAATTATTAGGATTTTATTGCTACAGCATTACTAAGGCAAATAGTTTTATTAGTTTATATTTTAGTTCAAAAACTAAAATATTTAAACAAAATATCTGATCTCTTTATAATACAACAAATTTAAGTGTTAAAGAGACTCTTAAACTTGATATATAAAATGTTCCAAAGTGTGTAATGGTAAATCATGAATACTGAACAATCAAAGCAAAATTTGAGGTGTGAATAAAAATAAAGTAAACCTCAAACTCTGTAAACAGCATAAATTATGATAATCAAATCTGAGCTTTCAAGTAAAGGAACCAGCCATCATTATTCAAATACATACTGCAACATTACAAATTGTGAAGTTGAATGACTACATTACCCCCATAACAAAAAAATCTTTTAGATGGGGAGCTGAGATGCACAAGAAAAGAAACCAAATAGCCTCTGTGGTGACATTATTTTTTATTTACATGAGTCTCCTCACTGCTGCTATACGGTATTTATTTTCATGTGTTGTCATTCTGACCTGAAGTGACAAGTGCATGCATGTGGATTCCTTGACCATTTACAATGGGCTTTGGGCTCGTGCTCCACTGACGTCTCTTGTAACTAGAAATCAACGAATGTGTATATATGTGTGTGTATGTATATATGTATGTATATATATACAGTTGAAGTCAGAATTATTAGCCCCCTTTTGATTTTTATTTTCTTTTTTAAATATTTCCCAAATTATTTTTAACAGAGCAATGAAATTTTCACGGTATGTCTAATAATATTTTTTTCTTCTGGAGAAAGTCTTATTTGTTTTAGTTCGGCTAGAATAAAAGCAGTTATTAATTTTTTAAAAGCCATTTTTGGGACAAAATTATTAGCCCCTTTAAGCTATTTTTTTTTTAAATAATTTACAGAGCAAACCATCATTATACAATACTTTGCCTAATTACCCTGACCTGCCTAGTTAACCTAATTACCCAAGTTAAGCCTTTAAATGTCATTTTAAGCTGTATAGAAGTGTCTTGAAAAATATCAAGTAAAATATTATTTACTGTCATTATGACAAAGATAAAATAAATCAGTTATTAGAAATAAGTTTTTAAAACTTTTATGCTTAGAAATGTGCTGAAACAATCTTCCCTCCATTAAACAGAAATTTGGGAAAAAAATAAACAGGGGTGCTAATAATTCAGGGGTGCTAATAATTCTGACTTCAACTGTATATATATATATGTTAATTAATCATTTTAAAACTGTATGTTTGTGGATTCAACCTTCAAAGATTCTACTTAAACAGTGAAGAAAATTAAAGCCCTCCTCACCTTCAGGAAAATGAATATAATGTTCAGCCTGAAAGGAATGAGTGGTGTGACAAGGTCAAGGTTTGTCCTTGTGATAAGGCTAGTGAAGGATCTCTTGTAATTAAGCAGCACCCAGCTCATGAACCACCTCTCTCTCGTTGTACTCTCTGTAGTTTTTGAAGGTGTTCAACTCATAACACTCTGACTGCGGCTCCAGAGAGCAAAAGAGAGATAAGGGGCCGACGAGCAGAACTCATGGCCTCTGTGATGTGTGAGTTGGTAAATCTCCAGGCTTGTTTCAGCATAAGGGAGCTTGGCTGTGGAGATACGGGAGACTTAGATGAAATCCTCTTGTTCTGATGGGAGGCAAGGGCTCGGGATTTGCTCACCGTTCCAGAGAAGAAAATCATCACAGAATAGCGCTTTCTGACTGGCCTTTTGCAGCTCACTGACTTCTTTTTGCTGTCTTTTGCTTTCTTGATTTTGACTTTCATCTTATTTAGGTTAACATATGGTGTATCATTTGTAATAGTAAAATGTTATTTGCAAATTTCCTGACAATATTAGTAAACACAATCTGTTGATTAAAAATACATACAGTAGGACTGCACAATATATCATTTTAGCATCGATATTGCAATGTGTGTAACCGCAAAAGTCATATAGCAAAGATCTGAAATGTTAAATTAGGATTATATTTGACCAGAAGCCACAGTTCAGAAAGTAATCAAGCAAGAATGACTGGAGATTTTTACCATAATGGAGCAAATGTTTATAATTTACATGTTTTTAAGGCATGTGACTGTATGAGCATATCAAGAGAGTTTAAAACTGTGATGCCCAAACTCAGGCCTACGGGCCAAAGTTGTCCCTTTATATCATTTGATTTGGCCCACCAGAGGGAAATGATTATAAAGGGTAGGAGAATGGCTTTAACAGAGATTCTCATTTCTTTTTTAATGTACTGTAACTTTTTGTTTGTTTGTTATATTGTTGAACGACAAAAAACTTAAATTTAATTATTCGGTAAAATAACATATATTTTGGAAAATTTAGAATGCATTAGTAAATACAGTTTAAGTAAATGTTTCTATTTATTTTGAAATTTTATGAAAAAAAATTTGGAAATTATCTAATTATCTATGGCAACCTTAATGTAATACAGTTTGCGATGTTTACTTTTGTCCCACAGCTCTCAATCGAGCTTGGATTTTGGCCCTTCATAAGAACATTTTTGGACACCCCTGGTTAAAAGCATTCAGGCACTAGAAATTGTACCGTTTGAAACTTTAATTAAAATTAAATTAATTGAATTAAAAATGTTTTGTTGATTTAATTATACAAAGACGATGCTATGTAGTGTTATTTTACATTTAATTCAATTTCTGTACCTGAATTCTTACCAAATATTGCGATTTTAGTCATCTGGTGAAATTGTATTTATATCGCAATTTATATCGCAGAAAAACAAAACATCGCAATGTCTGATTTTTCCAATATTATGCAGCCCTAATATACAAAATTTATTATTTTTAGTTTCAGCATTTAAAAAAATATTATTAAAATCCAGAGTTTTAGTTAACTAAAGTATCCTTTTATTTTGAATATTTTTTAATATTGTCCTCTTTTTTGTCATGTTGAATAATTTAAAAAGTCAGTGTACTGTAATTGAGGATTTATACATATTGCTACCTTTTTTTTGTACTCACAATTGATTTGGTGCATATTTGAACAGTTTTATCATGCTGACAATTTTATTGTGTGACCTTCTGAAGTCACTTTTTTGGCTCCATTTCATATGTAACCTTCATTTAATCAAGTTGGCAAAAAAAAAATTAAAAATAAAAACAAAATTTCAGTGACACAAGATTTTGTACAAAAAATAAAATTAAAGTATGTTTAAAGTGAATTTGTAAAGTTCAATCCATACAATTCAGGCAATTGGCTCTGTAGGAAAAGAAAGCAGAACTAATATTAGCTACATAAGACCAGGAGACCCACTCAAATCAAACATTGTTCAGTTGATACACATGATAAGAGATGAACAGTGTTAAATCTCTGTGTCGTCTCTGACTGATAAAGCTCTTATTGGTCTCGCTCACAGAGAGCTGACATCATCATTAGTCGTTCCCCTTCAGGCTCTTTTACTCCTGCTACAAATTCAATGGACAAAGCAGCCCTTAATTCACAAACAAAAGTAAAGGATCATGAATCCACAGTAATGTGTACCTGGGCCTTTGTAATTGGTCCCGGTGGAGCCGTGCGTTCAATTCATGCTCTTTCCAATTAAACCATAAACTCAACAAGAATAAATGACAAATAAACACACTTTGCCTCATTGTGCTTGCTGTTTATTGTTCATATCTGAAGGCTCGTGTGCTCAAGTATTTTTTTTTCTTGCACCAGAAAAGAACAAGTGCAGGTGTAGAGTTGTTTCTCAACTTATCCAGTTTTGTTATGTTCATTTTATTTTGGATTGTGGAAAGGATTTTCACTTTTTGACTGAATATGAATAGATGTTCAATTTGAACTGAATATAAAAAGACTCGGTTTGTGTGTGTGTGTGAGCATGTATGAGTGTTAAAAGTGCTAAATGTATTTGATCCTGTCCCCTTACCTTGCTCTGTTTTCTTAAACAGCAAAGAAGACCTGTGCCACAACTGACTTTGCATGTAAGAACGGCCAGTGTGTCCCAGGCCGATGGAGGTGTGATGGAGAGCCAGAGTGTCCAGACGGTTCGGATGAAGCAGACTCCGCCTGCAGTGAGTAAACTATTAGTGTGTTTGTGTGTGTGTGTGTGTAGCTTTAGCTGATTCTGATCCAAATCAAAGCATGCAAACCATCCAAAAATCAAATTCTGAAATATGCACTTTTTCATGAAGACAAATTTCTGTCTTGAAAATCTATTTGCGCACGCACTCTTGATAGGCCATATCTAATCTCATGTGACGTCATCAACTACACAGTGAAGGTAATTGGCTGTTGTCGGCTCAGCAGCCAGTGAGATTGCTCCTCAATATTTTAAATGCTTCAGTGTTGGTTAATGTTAGCAATCTGCAGCGCGTTTTGGAGACCCTCCTCCTCCCCAGCGTTAAGATCTGCCACACGGGTTATATGTATATAATGTTCGCAGCAGCAGTGATAAAATGCACTACAACACCTGCACACATCATCATATGTCACCGCAATCTCATTCTTCATATGACGATCGCAACTGCTGTAGCTATTCCAGTTGCGTTATTTCTGGGTTTTTATCTTTAGGAAATCACTGAAGCAACTATATACGGCACTGCGCATTTATACCGGGGCCATATTCATCCATGTAAACATACGAAAACAACATTAACATTAAATCAGACACTGTAAAAAAGATCCTTCACAGCCACTAGACTTTTCTGACAGGGTATTTGAGTGTCAAATGTAAAAGTGTGTTGTGGGACTACCATATAGGAGTTAGTATTATGGAATATAGATTGTGAAATTTAGCAGTTTTTATTTTAGCATTTTTTTTAAAGCATGATGGTAAAACACAAACGCGGTTATGAATGTATTAAAACATGCTAGTTTGTTGTAAAACTTTGTAATAATGACAAAAAAATGCTAATTTGTGCATCTCCTGACTTCCATGTGCAGCCATGCTGCTGATGTTTGGAACACCCCTACCTCTTGTTTTGCGCGTTCACGTGAAGGGGTGGGGGCATGAATATACTGACAGTAGCAAGTATTGGTACTTACTCTGCAAAAATAATTAAAGCAGCAGCAGCTCAACAGGTCTATTCTGCCAAGACCAAGCACAATAACATTGCCATATACTGTATTTATTCATTACCAAACTAAATGGACTGACACAGTTTCAGTTTTCTAAAATTTCCATGTTCAGCTGCTTAGACACAATCCACAATGTATTATTATATATATTTATATATTGATTGATTGATTGATTGATTGATTGATTGATTGATTGATTGATTGATTGATTGATTGATTGAAATGAATAAAATCTTAGAGAGTTGTCATGACAAAAATATTAAGCATCAATCAATTTTCAGCTTTAATAGTATATTTAATAATATGAAATTATATTTTTAAAACAACAAAAAAAGGATTTAAATAATTAGAATTAAATAATAGATTTTTAGATTACTGGGTTTTAGGTTTTCATTCATTAGAATAATATTTAAATTATTAATTTAGCATTTTGTATCCAATTATTTCAGACTTTTTGGGCATGGCAGTCTTATTTCCGATTAGCAAAATATTACGGGTAAACATTTCAACACCATTATAAAATAAAAATAACATAATAAGTTAGGGCAGTCTTTCATAGCATTGAAATTATTATTCATTGAGTATTGCTTCAAGGTTTTTCCAAATAACAATTATTCAAGTAAACAGCCAGTATTTAGAAAATTGTAATGTTTGATTTATTTAAACAACAAATGACCGGATAATGAAAGCGTCAGTGCACAGAATTGATGTTTTGACAGTTTATTTTGAATCTGATTTTGTATATGTCCATATACTTCCTTGACAGAGTAGCAGGAAGCTTATTTATTTTTAATAACTCCATTTGGAATTCACCTTATACATTTCTGCTTTCAAAGAAGGCGTAAAAACTCACATTACTGCTTATCCATGTGTCTTCTCAGTTATAGTAAACATATTTGTCATGCACATAAACAGTTTTGACATTTATTTACATGGATCCAGTTCTTTGTAGTTTGTTTTTCTACCACAGATCTCCGCCTGTGGCTGTTTGGCGATCTCAATAATTGTTATTTTAAGCTGTAGACTGAGACTTTCTCTCTGGCCATGTGATGTGATTTTGCCGTTGGCTGAATTAGGCTCCAGCTGCTAATTGGCAGCAGTAATGTTCACTCCTCTTGGCGATTCTCACTCTCTTGTGTACTGGTAATTGATATTGTCCAGTCAGAGCATGTGCAAATCACATTTTTCACACATATTCCTTGTGCTCAGATTCTGTTGTTACTGCATTACAGAATCAGGAGTAGTTTCTGTCTCACTTGCTTTTCCTCGCTGACATTCGAAGGAAAAAGGGAAGCTTCCAGTTCAGTGGTCATTAGATCAGAATGAAAACTCAATCAGCTGTGATTTGCTTTTTCTTCTTCTGCTTATACTGTAGTATTCTGGCCTGAAAATGATGAGAGTGATTTAGGCTGTGTTTGTAGTGTATATTAATATTCTATAGTGCTAAACTCAGAGCTGCATATTGTCTGTACTCATATAATATCTGATACCTTCATATTGCCAAAATGTTCAGTATGCAATTGGACACAATATTGTATCCTATATGGCTTATATCTAGTTTTACACAAACAAATAAAAAGAGTATTTTATAAATATTTTTTAATATATTTTAGTTTGATATTAGATTTGTACTTGTTTGGTATTTAATACTGGATATTTAATTCACTTATCTCAGTTAATTATAGTAATTTCTTACATTTATGCAGTGCTTCACCGGAAACACAAAATGCTTTACACATTTTTAAAGGGGAACTCACATTTTTTTGAATGGGAAATAGTGTAACTGTCACTACGGTGAATAAAGCCCTGCCTTCTAGTACTGGAGCCAATCATCGATCGCTATAGAGTGACGATACTCTGGGGGAGGGGCTCAGACCAGACGAGAGTTTCTGCAGATTTTGTGTGATTTGGACATTTAGAAATGAAGCTAAAGAGACAGTTGTTGTACAGTTTTAGTGATGATTCCTAATATGAAATTCAGTGGTAAGCTTGGCAAGCAATTTTGGAGAATTTGATGTTTCCCCATACTGCCTGAGAGGCGTTTCAAAGATCCCTGGCGAGTGAAATGTCTTGCCTTAAAGGGACTTTGACATCACACACTAGCTGATTAGTGGAGAGGAGACAGAATGATGAAGCCAATTGAGGCCAGTGGGCAAATTTGGCCAGGATGCTGGGGTTAAGCCCCTACTCTTTTCGGAGGACATCCTGATTTTTAATGACCACAGAGGGTCAGGGCCTTGGTTTAACGACGGCGATCACTGAGCCGTATAGAGTCCCCATCAATATACTGGGGCGTTAGGACCCACTCACACCGCAGGTTGAGCACCCCCTTCTAGCAGCAACCTAGCTTTCCCATGTGGTACTGCCCCATCCAGGTACTGACCTGGCACAGACCTGCTTAGCTTCAGTGGGCAACCATATAAGAGTTTCAGAGAGCTAGCTGCTGGCTAATGTGTCTGTTAAATGTAATACAGTTGAAGTCCATGTTAAATTAAAATTGACACTGTTAATTTTGCTAGAGTTCATTCTTAGTTTTAAGGTGTTTAATTAATTCATGCAAATCAATTCACTGAAAAAAACAATTTCATCTGGTAATCTTTAATCAAATTATAACAATTAGCTTTTGCTCTGTAATGGCAGTCCTTCTCTGATGACATCAAACAGCTTGGAAATGTTGGAAATATGTCATCATACATACAATTCTGCAACAACTTGTCATTCATGCTGACTTTAATTGTAAAATTGTATATATTTTCCATCAAGTCACATTATTTCAGCATTTCTCAATCCTGGACCTCACGCCTCTACCTCCTACACTGCATATTTTGCATGTCTCTCTTATTTACCACAGCTGATTTTGATGACCAGCTTGTTAGAAGAGCTTTCTGCATGAACAATGATCTGATGGACACATCCCTATGTAGTAAGCACTTTTCGTTAGTCTCTTCTCCATTATTGCTCTCTACCTGAGCACAAGAAACATTCATTCATGTATATACGATGTGTTTTCTGCCGAAATATAATTGGATAAACGTTCAGTGGGTTATACAGTTACACAGACCAAACAAAGACAAACAATTTTTATTATTATTTAAAGATTTATTTTTGGCCTTTATTAAATAGGACAGTATTGAGAAAGGAAGTGAAGTGGGAGAGAGAGAGACAGGGTAGGGAAATTTTGTCGAGCCGGGATTCGAACTCGCGACGCCCTGACTTGCTATTGCACCATATGTCTGCGCGCTAACCACTAGGCTATTGCGCCGACAAAGACAAACAATTCTAACACAGAATGCACATTTTTAAAGAATAACTGACCTTGCCATTGTTTTCAGATAAATAGGTTCATTTAGCATGTATTTTAAATGTCTGTAAACATATTCTGGCATTTTAATGCTTTAGAAGAGGGAAACGCTTACATACAGAACTTTTAAAGTAACATTTTAAATAGTTATTATTTAAATACATCTTACTGGATGTTGCTAATTTTATAAAGGTGTATTCGATATGAATGCAGTTTCATCAGAAGACTTGACTTGCACTTTTTGACAACCCAAGTTCAATTTAAAAATGTACCGCTACATACATTTCTGGAGAGCGCCAAATTTGTTTCAGGAGCGACATTTTAAAAAAAAATGTTTTTGCAGTTTTTGTTTTGGCGAATCCACCAGAGGCCACTCTGTATGCTTTTTGAGATCTCGAATTTTTCTGACGAGTGCTATGCACGCCTGCTGTTTTGACTGACCGACCGACTGACTGACTGACTTACCAATCGACTGACCCCCTCTCCTCCTTTCCTAAACCCAACCAATAGTGTTTTCAGAAGCACTAATTGTCCTGACCACCCACTTTCCTAAGACCCAACCGTTTTAAAAGTAATCCAGAAAAATGAAAAGCCCTCGCCTGATTTTTACCACATTTTCAGATTTTACCACTTTCTCACCCTGTTATTTACTTGTTTATTTAGTTTTTTGGCTTTTGTTTTTGTCTAACCTGC